GTTAGTCATGAGATAAAAGGAGGAGAAGAAAAAGAGAGTCCCTCTTTGATTGGGCAACCACATTGATGGGAGTTTCTTTGCATTCGACCCAACCTAAAGCTAACAAAGAATGTATAGTGGCTCATTTTCCTTGGTTTAAAATACTGTCTTTCTCTCTCTCTCTTTTTTTTTTTGCCTTAAAAGAGATTTTTTGCAATTGGGCGTGTGTGCTCATCAGAGAGACAGAGAGACAGAAAGTAAGAAATCACCTCCCCAGGGAGGATAGCAATGCCACAGTCCCCTTTCCTCCATTTTCCTCTCGTGATTTTGGGCATGCACACACATGCGCCCAACATGAGTTTTAAGCCATGGGCCCAGGACTCGAACCGCAGTTAACTATGTGAGAGTCCAGCAATGTAACCGTTATGCCATCTACTGGTCCTGCTCTCTCTTTTGTTTATTTATTTTTAAAAGATATTTTTGCTATTGGGCACATGTGCTCAGTGGAAATACAGAAACAGACATAGTGAAAATTTGTTCCCCAGGGAGGATGGCCATGCCACAGTCCCTTCTCCTCCATTCTCTGGGATTTTGGGCACATATACATAGCACCCAGTGTAAGTTTCATTCAAACTACCAGGTTTGGGATTCAAACCATGGTTGACCGTGTGGGAGTCTAGTGCCTTAACCACTATGCTGCCTGCTGACCCCCCAAATACTGTTTTTCTCGTATCTGAAAGGTACAAAGGAGAATAATAAGGGAACCTGTAAAAGAATTAGAAGATAGAGATGTGTTTGAAATATAGAAATAACTGACATCGAATCATTGAATGATGACTTAGGTAAACTATTTAGGTCTGTTGGGGGAAGTATAATGGTCATTCTTTTTTTTTTAATTATTTATTTTTTAAAAATTTTACTTATTCATTTATTTTAATTTGACCAGAGAGACACACAGAAACAGAGAGAGAAAGAAAGTGAGAAAGCAAGCCACCAGGTCTGGGACTCAAACTGTGGTCAGCCATGTGGGAGTGTCCAGCACCTTAACCACCATGCCACCTGCTGGTCCCAATAATGGTCATTCTTAACTGTTTGATAATGAACAAATTAAAGTTCTATTACATCCTGGGACCAGCAGTTAGCCTAATGGCTATGTCGCTGGACTCCCATGCAGTTGACCGCGATTTGTGTCCCGGACCCGGTGGCTTAAACTCATGCCAGGTGCGTGTGTGCGTGCGTGCCCAAGATCCCGAGAGGAGAATGGAGGAGAAGGGATTGCGGTGTGGCCATCGCCCCTGGGGGGTGATTTCTCGCTTTCTGTCTCTCTCTCTTTCTCTGTCTGGCAAGTGCATGCGCCCTATAGCAAAAACCTCTTTAAAAAAAAAAAGTTCTATTACATCCTTTCTTGTTAACAAATTCATTATGACAACAGGATAGTTTTCTTGAGCGCACACACCCTCTGGCAAAATTACAAAAGAAAAAAAAAGAAACCTTCCTCAGGAGAATCACTGTACTCGGAGGCAAACGTATTTGTTACTTACAAGATCTTTCGCCGTTAGCCGTAGTGGTAGCCCGTTTATTCAGACTCCAGACTTCCCCTTCCTATTGAGAGAGACATAGCCGGGAATCTGGAAGGAAGACGGAGGCTAAGGGAATACTTTTTTCTCAAAGTCACTACCTCTCCTTGGTTTGCTAAGAGGGCAGAATCCAAATTTTTTCTCTCCACCTACACATGCTAAAAACTTAAACTAATAAGACATTTTTAGCGATTTTGCTAATCTATTATATGTTAGCACTGTAATATACTCTTTTGGGAAGCAAAAATTGAGATAGCTTGAAGAAGCCTGATTACAATGATAATGTAAATAAAAAGTAACTGACAATATGAGAGGAAGCAGAAGAATTTGTTTTGAAAAGTAAGGTACAATAAAATTTATTCTGTCTTAAGTAGCATTTAGTTGTTCAGGCACTCGCATGTTCCACACGTAGCTCAGAAGGCATCACTCCGTCTCCAGCTCTCAGCCCACTCTCTCTCTGCTCCTTCTCAGCCCAGGTGACTCCTCAGTATTCTTAGAACACTGGAGGTTTTTATTTATTTATTTATTTATTTTTATTTTTTATATTTTTGCCTTAGGGTACATGTGCTCATGGGGTGGGGGGAGATATCACCCCACCCCAGGTGGGATGGTCACTCCGCAATCCCTTCTCTCCCATTCTCCTCTTGGGATCTTAGGCATGCATATACACACACTTGGCGCGTATTTCAAGCCACCAGATCTGGGACTTAAACCATGGAGTAGGCCATGTGGAACCACCTTAACCTTAACCACTCTGCCACCTCTGGCCCCAGTGTGGGCTTAACATACCTATAAAACCCTTCATCTCTCTGCCTTTTTCTTTTACCGTTCCTACCTTTATTGATATAATGTATGCATATTTCCCGACTAGAGTGGAAGCTCTGTGATGGTAAAGACTAGGTCTCTCTGACTTACCAGTGTGTCTTCAGCATGTAGCACATCCTGGAATGAATAGAGGAGGAGGCACTGTCCTTCCTCTCTTGCAGTCCCCAGGATAGGAAGCACGCACCTGTGTCACACAAAGTAGGCTGCGGTCAGTATGCTACACTGTGGAGGAAAGAAATGGAAAATGTTTCATGAGTGTTTAATGAGAGAAAAAGTTTCATCAGAGTGTTTAAAATTATATAAAAGTTTGACACACAAGAGAGGTGGTGAAATCACTGGCCCGAAAACTCATGCTGAATGAACGGGACTTTAACAGTACTAGTAGTATTTTTTTCGCTTTTAAAAGTAGCACAGAGGGGTGTTTGCTTCAGCAGCACATACACTAAAATTGGAACGATGCAGAGATCAGCATGGCCCCTGCACAAGGATGACACGCAAATCCGTGAAGCGTTCCATATTTCTTCCTGGGGAAAAGATGGCATGTTTATTCTGAAGATAGTGCAGGATAAACGTAAACAAAGGTGAAATGAAAGGCTGTTCTGTTACAGGACCAGTTGCAAACGAGTGTGCACACTTTTGACCTGGGATTGCATCTAATGCTGGCAGCATCGCATGATTCTCCAGTGTTTTTCTTAAAAACAAAAAGAAAACAAACAAAAAACCCAAGCATTAAAAACTATTTGCTCCCCTGCCCCTGCAAAAAAGTAGTGCAGAGGGGACCAGCTGATGGCGTGGTGGTTAAGGCATTGGACTCCAACATGGGAGACCACAGTTCGAGTCCTGGACCTGGTGACTCGCTTTCTCACTTTCCCTCACTCCCTGTCTCTCTCTGGTCAAATTAAAAATAATAAAATAAGTAAACTTTCTTGTTTTTTAAACAGTTAATTACTCATTTAATTCCATTTGTTATTATTTTTTAATTTTACCAGAGAGAGAAAGGGAAAGTGGGAAAGCAAGCTGTCAGATCCAGGAGTTGAACTGCAGTTGGCTATGTGGGAATCCAGTGTCTTTAACCACCATGCTACCTGTCATCCCCATAAATAAATAAATCTTTAAAAAAATATTTTATTTAACTTTATTTATTATTATTTTCTAGTTTGATCAGAGAGAGACAGAGAGAGGGAAAGTCAGACAGCAAGCCACCAGGTCTGGTATTTGAACCACAGTCGGCCATGTGTGTGAGTTCAGTGCCTTTAACCACCATGCCATCTGCTGACCCCAATAAATAAATCTTAAAAAAAAAGAAAAGTAGTGTAGAGAGTTGGCACATGATATTATAGTTCTAACTTAAAAAAAATTTATATAATTATATATATATACTTGTATATATGTATATATTTTTAAAATAATTGATTTTATTTTTTATTTTAATTTCACCAGAGAAAGAGGGAAAGTGAAAAAGCAAACCACCAGGTCCAGGACTCAAACCATGGTGGGCCATGTAGGAATCCAGCATCTTTTTTTTTTTTTTTTTTTGGTGAGAGGTTTTTCCTTTGGGGTTTGTGCACTTGCCAGAAAAACAGACAGAGACAGAGAGACAGAAAGTGAGGAATCACCCCCCAGGGGGGATGGCCATGTTGCAATCCCTTCTCCATTCTCCTCTTGGGATCTTGGGCGTGCACGCACATGTGCCCGGCGTGAGTTTTAAGCCACCGGGTCTAAGACTTGAACTGTGGTTGACTCCATGTGAGTCCAGCGACATAGTTTTTATGCTAACTGCTGGTCCGAATCCAGCATCTTAATCATCCTGCCACTTGCTGGCTCATGCTTGTATATATTTAAAGTCGAAGTTTAGGTTGAACCATATGGCATTGCTATTTTCATGCTCAAATGTTAACCATTTCATATATTTTAACCTTCCATTGTATTAGTGGATAATGCTGATTTTTTTGGTGGGAGGCTATTATCGTGTATGTTCTTTTTTTTTCTAGTATGCATTGCCTCTTCAGCTAGTGAATAACCAAACCATGACAACGTGGATGGAGATATTCCGAACTATTATTGACAGGACAGTTCCTCCTGTAAGTAAGAAAGATTCGAGAAACTTGGGTTTGGAATGTTTGTGGTAGATTTATTACCCAAGAGTGGTGTTTAGGAAAAAAGTACCAGCGTAGTAAAATTAATAAATTAATAAAATCATAAACTTGCTCATTTTTAGAAAGTTCAGATAAAAAATAACTATACTTGGGAACCAGCAGTTAGTGTAATGGCTATGTTGCTGGACTCCCACGTAGTCGACCGCGGTTCGCATCCTGGACCTGGTGGCTTAAAACTCACGCCGGGCATGTGTGTGTGCGTGCCTAAGATCCCGAGAAGGAGAATGTAGGAGAAGGGATTGCAGTGTGGCCATACCCCCTGGGGGGTGATTTCTCGCTTTCTGTCTCTGTCTCTCTTTGTCTGTCTGGCGAGCGCACACACCCTATAGCGAAAACCTCTCAAAAAAAAAAAAAAACCAACTATACTTTTTTCTATGAGATGGTAGAAACCATTTTTAAAAATAATTATTG